CCCCCCCCCTAGGTGACAAGTGTGATGCTATAACAACAACTGATATCTTCACACGAACCTACCAACCAAGCTACAACTTCTGTTTGTCAGATCAATACACATTAGAAGCTCATTCTTCCTTGACTGGAGCCTACTCTTTCTATTCATTACTTAGTTTATCCTACCATATGTTCCCATTGTGAATGCCTGATGCGAAATCTTAAACGGATATTTTTGTCACGTTATCAGTTTGTGAGGGGGAAATAATTCGATTAGTTGCTTTCGTGATTATTATTCTCACTAGGGCAATAATCTGCTCATTTTGAACAACTTTATTATTCATTTTTAAAAGGTGGTGGTGACGAAGTGGTTTAGACCCTGTCATCAGCTTGCTTTGGACCCTATAGTCCGAGGTTCGAGCTCCGTCACCGTCACTCAACTTTGGTTATAGGCAGCTTTGTTGTCGGCCGGTTCAATACCACGCCCAACCTAGCAAGGCATTATGTAGTTCTCCAATCCAAGTCCCTGGGATTAGGTTGTCGGTTTCCATCATTGAATAGTAGGTTCCCTTGACTGGGACCTTTTCCCGTCTGCTGTTCATCACACTAAGTTGTTTATTAAAAAATGTATTAAGACCAAGTTTGAACTGGTGTTTAATTACAAATCGAATGCATCAGATTTGTTTTGACACGTGTGCTTAGAGTGAAACACTGAACCACAACTGAACTGAAATAAACATATTTACTTATTTCAACAAATACTCTCCATAAAACTATAATGTAATTTCATCATGCCTTTCAATCGGCGAAAAATCAGGAACCTGAATCGAATTCACGTTTACTTGTAGACGTCACCCGCAATTTTGTGCAGTGTGCGGTATCGTACGAGGGATCTTGTCGTATCTTGTTGTCTACGTGATTAACAGAGGCAAAACTAGACATTGCTTATGATGTAAGCTGACTGTTGCCAGATAGCTGTGAAAACGTCGAGTAACACGTTCAGACCCCGGTGTTGCTTGACCAATTTGTTCTACAAATTCAACCCCCAGCGAAGTTCTCAAACTTTGCACAGTTGAAGAACATAATTATACCCGGCACATGTGTAAAATAACGAGTTTCGATAATCCACTTGAAACTGAGCACAAAAATTTAAGCTTAAACCTCCACCCTCTCGAATGGAAGATTTGTCTGTGTACTTCATGCGGCAGAGCTACCGATTGAATCACTAAGTCTCCATAATTTAGCCACGATACACTGTCTTTAAGTATGCGTCAGTTACTCAAAAAATGACTCCAAAGTTTGTGTGTATGTGTGTGTGTGCGGGGGGGGGGAGGTGTATTCGTTCAGCAGAACAGAATAAGATATGCAATAATGAGACTGAATAATATATGCTAAAGAATAAGTTTAAAAGATGCGATCGATTTGAAAACCTAAACTTACATACGTCTATATGATTCCGTTTTGTTTTGTCATACTAAACTATTTGGATCACAATTTCATCCACCCAATTTCTTGTATAGATAAGACATGATTTATGAAATATGCTTCATCGGAACCACAAACTCCCGGTGGCGGCGGCGGGGGGGGGAGAGGGTTGACAGAGTTGAAAATGAATGAAAGGGCCCGTCAAGCTTCGCAATCACCGCTAAAATGAATTCCGGTGTTAGGGAGCTTCATTGTGGTCCGGTCCACCGGAACATCTATTCCGATGAGGCCTTTAGTGGTTCTAATCCCGATGCTCAGGTTGTTGGTCTCCATGAGTAGACAACAGGTCCTCGTGACTATGGTGTTAAATCGGTCTACTGTCCATCATACAAGGGGATGTAATTAGAATTATTTATCACTAAACTAACTCTCTAAATAACTTCGGTAATTTATTTTTTTTGTCACATATTCACTTTCGAAATGATTTAAAAGTGAAAATTAATCATTAAGTCACATATCACTAAGGACTCCCACAATGTTTTCTTCATTCGATCCGTTTTAAGTTGTAACAGGGTAATAGAAGTTAACACTACATGAAGTGTTTTTTCGGAATCAATCTAGGCGTTCGCCCATAATTGCAGTACAGTCATGTTGTGATGGAAGGTGGTACAAAGAGAGTCCCGGCTAGCTAACGAATCAAGAATAGGGCCAATTCAACCAGGTGCGCAGACGTAGCGACTGGAAGTACTTCGCGGCGACGGCACCAATGTAACGAGAAGGTGAGTCGGCTGGCAAAACGTTTATTGATCCAATTAAAAAATAACCGGTGTATGCGTTCGATTATATACAATCAATTCTCAACCGCGCGGCAGGATGATTCATGCCTCATTCTGTTGATCCATTCCTGTTGATTTTGGGTCGCACTTGGCACGTACATTTCCTCTTCTCCCGCGTGCCTTTCCGAATGGTTTGACCCGATCGGGGCGCGAGATACGTTAATCGACAGCTCCGACGTTGTGGTATTCGGTGGATATCTTTTTGGCTAAATGCAGATTGTCCGTCGGGCTGTAATAGTCGATTCGTTCGTTTCGAGTGGTAGTCGGCATTGTCTCGCGAAGTACTTCCAGCCGCTACGTCTGCGCACCTGGTTGGATCGGCTCTATTCTTGATTCGTTCGCTAGCCGGGACTCCCTTTGTAACACCTTCCATCACAAAGTGACTTACTGAATTGGCGAATCACCCAACTCATTCCGGATTCACAGTATAATTCAGTCAATTAAGTTGAGAAACAACAGACCCAACTGGTGAGTAAAATCATTTCCAAATTGTTTCCCTTCTATTCCAAAGAACCAGCACTCATTCACTTACCAGTAAATTCAATTCCTGATCCGCGGTAAACATGGGCCGATTAGACGAGTTCATCTGTGTGTGGATGTGTAAGAGTAGGAAATAGAGCGGGGTGAAAATCAGTTTTGAGTTCACGCATATCACCAAATGATAATGGCGCGTACAGTTACAATTATTGGTCCCATCTGGACCGAGAAAAGTATCTTTCGGTTTTTCTATTCGAAAAGAGAAACCAATCTCGTGTGTTTGATTTCTTCGACACGAAATCCGTGACCTAACAGCACGAATCCTCACGGGGACCTAATTCGGATGGGGTAGGTTTGTGCTAAGTTCCTACTTCTCACGCATACAGAAATACTCTTTTGTTAGTCAGTGAACCATTTTTTTCAAAAGAGTGAAATGAGCAAAGCATTTAGGCATTTAGTGATGCAGAAACGAACATACGTACCTGTCTCTAAACGACACCGATTGCGATTGGTTTATTTAATCTATTCGATCCCGAGATTCCCGAGTACTGGATCTGCATCATTTTGAACCAAATGTAACGTCACTGTCCCGAATGAGTGTGTCGAATAATCTGACTGCATTTGAAATCATCATTCATCTGGTCCGTTAATGTGATTGGTACATGTTTTACTCTTTTGAGAGAAAGGAGTAAATTCCAAACTTGCTTTCCGTTGCCCATGGTGAGCCTACTTTGCACAGTTTCGCTTTATGTTTTGTGAATAAAAAAAACAGCTCCATGTTGGAGGATTTATTTCTATTGCTAGTATCACCATAGTTGTCAGACCGTTACGCAGGTATCCTNGTGTGTGTGTGTGTGTGTGTGTGTGTGTGTGTGTGTGTGTGTGTGTGTGCGTACCATCTGACGGTGCTACACGATCGCATGCGACCGGTTTCAATGTCCATCACAAAATCCGGGCATGAAAGAAACGAGGAGCAGCTACAATCGGAGCAATTGGCACACACTTCAATCACCGATAACTGTCCATCATTGCGACTGCACAACAACACGAACTCACTTCGGGACCCGTTTGGATTTGTTGTTCTCTTCCAAGCCTGTATTTCTTCTCTGTATTCTGTTGTTCGTTTATCCTGGTCTGGATTCCGTCACCATCACCACTACCACCACCACCACCACGATCTCTTGATTGTAGCACCCATCCAGCCATCCACCACCCACCCACCCACACACACACACACACCACTGTCGCAACTCCGATATACCTTAACGTTGGCTCAGATAAATTGCGGGTAGTCTGTTTACTTAATAACCAGGATGGTGTGCGTAGTAGTAGTAGTAGTAGTGAGGAGAGTTGG